ACACAATTGTGTCTTCACATTGCAGGTGATGTGCTGAGGGACCCAGTTGGTATAAAGCTGCAAGCTCTTTTGAAGCTCTGAAAGAATAAGAATTTGGCATGCAACCTATATTTAGCGACTTTAATTCTTGGTCTAATTGAAACCGTCAATAGGAAACTATTTCCTGGACTGGACTGAGAATACTGACTGTGACAATCAATTGGACATAAACATGCGGCTGCACTTAGAATTCAATCTTAAGAAGCCAACATCTTTTTAAAAGTAAAAAGCTCGGCTTTTTTTACATTAGTGACTGCCTGCCCTTTCCAGGTTTTAAGGACCCCTGTTGTATAAAGAATCAATGAATCAGAAACGTAATTTGTTTTAAATAACCTCAAACTTTTAGAAAAGACATTTTCTAACTGGAAATTTTAGAGATGTGCAAACCGTAAAAATGGTGGCATAATCTTCCAGAATATATTTAGTTGAGAGGTAGTGAGATAAAGGGGCCCTAAGTTTTAAAAGCTACACATTTCCTGGGGCTCCTCGGTGGCTCAGTTGGTTGAGTGTCCAACTCTAGATTTCAGCTCAGGTGGTGATCCCAGGGTCATGGATCAAGCCCCACAGCAGGCTCCACGCTGAGTGTGGGGCCTGCTAAAGATTCCCTCTCTTTCTGGGGCACCTGGGTGGCTCAGTTGGTTAAGCATCCGACTTCAGCTCAGGTCATCATCTCGCCATCTTTGAGTTCAAGCCCCGCATCAGACTCTGTGCTGACAGCTCAGAGCCTGGAGCTGCTTCGGATTCTGTGTCTCCCTCTCTCTCTGCCCTTCCCCTGCTTGGGCTCTGTCTCTCTTGCTCTAAAAAATAAATGAAACATAAAGAAAAATTTAAGATTCTCTTTCCCCCTCTGCTTCTCTCCCTTGCTCATGTGCGCTCTTCAAAAAAAAAAAAAAAAAAAAAAAAAAAGCTGCACATTTCCTGAACCTTCCAGTTAGAAGAAAAGCCCTGCTTCAGGGAAAGGCATAGGGACCAGGGAAAATGAGGAGTAAGAACCACTGACCAAATGTTACTGATGAAAGGTACTAACATTGGTCAGTTACAACTCCGGGTGCCTGTAGGGAGGAGGGCTTGAAGTCTTAAGACTCCTTTCTCAAAAGGTACCAGACACAGCAGATTATCATCGAACAGCTATTAAAACAATTATATTCTTCCTCATTTATTTTCATGTTCACAGATTAAAATGCTCAAAAAGATGCAATTATAAAACCCTATATATGACCTGATTCCATTTTTATTTAAAAATAAAACAAAACACATACATATATGTAGGCAGAACAAACTATGAATGGGTAGGTGTCAAAGTGTTAACGGTCGAGGTGGTGTTGCTGATGGGCTGGTAAGTGATTTTGTATTTTCTTCTGTGTACTTTTTTACACTGTCTAAGTGCTCCCTGGTGCACACCATCCACTTCAAATAAGAAAGACAACAAAGCAATTTCCATTCTGGAAAAAAAAAAGGTCAGTGGGGATTATAACCAATATTTAAATCACTTGGAAAATCATAAACCTAGTAGGGTCCTCTTTACTGCAAAAAGACAAAACATTAGTAAACATATTTCATAAATATACTGTGTTCTATTATGAACCATTAAAGTGCACTTTGTTTTATGAGATATTAATGAAAGTTTCTCTGTAAACTAAGTTTTTTAAGACACATTATATTTGAGTTTGTAACTTAAAATCCGTGTGTTTCTAATCCCTTTGGTTAAGAGAATGTCTTTTCCCTAGTCTATCTTGTGAAACCCAGATGTTTTGCTTAAGGTGAGATTTATTTTTATTTACTCCTAAGAAAGGAATCCATCGTACTTTGATGTAGGTAACCAAATGATCTGGAATTCCAATTACTGTAAACTAGATATTATGATTCATATAGCCAGTGTTTTACCTCTATTTGCTGAATGTTCACTACAGGAAAAATGTATTAAAAAATTTAAAAGTATGGACACATAGGTCTTTTAAGTATCGACCCGTGGGAGACACTGCAGATAGAAACAGCTTTATTTTTTTCCATTCAAGCTTTATCAAATGGACTATTCAAAAAGCATACACAAGAGGAAAAAAACATCACATGCAATCAAACTTGTTTTGCTTTACAGTCACTGGTTTTCTTTGGGAAAAGAATACACATTTGAATAACTTCTAATTCAAACATTTCCCATATGTTTCCATTCCATTTCCTTCTTTAAAACAAATAACACATTCTAGATAACTGGTCATATTCTCTCTCATTTTTATTCATACTGAAATAGTATAAAGACTATAAAAGCAAACCATATACTGTTCAGAAATCTGAAAAGATTCATTTACATAATAGATTCCAAGATGTTCAGAAACCGCACACAAGTGATATTTTGCAAGACGGATAAAAAATAGCATACGTTGTCTGAAAGCAAAGATACACAGTAATAATTTCTTATCTAAATAATTTTAATCAAATGAATAATATATTCATTTGGCAATAACCTCTATCTTTCATAGAATATTAAAAAAAGTGCTCAGATCACATTTAAAAAAATAACAAAAATCTCACAGAACTGAAGATTTAAATAAAGATGGCAGCCCGGGGAAATCTCGATTACATTTCTGCTCCCATGACAAGGAGGCAGATGTGAATTTACCTGAATCCTGAGAGGGACCACAGCTCTAAGACTAATGCATAGCTGCTAGGCTCGAAAACATAGAAACTGTCTTTGAAAGGTTCTCAAGTGTCCTTCTTTGGATGAAAGCCATGAACATAAAACCAGATTTACCAACTAGACTGCATGCCGACTGACAAAGCTGGGTCACTCTCGCTGTCCTTCCCTAGCAGACTGTTAATACGTGGCTAGGGCTCAAAAGAACAAATAACTAACTCATCAGGATCAAGCCACGATCTATTCCCAGGAGAACAGCACGTGAAAGCAGCAGATGAGCGGGAGAAGCTTCACGCCCAGCTCTCCCTGGCAGTTCACTGCACCTGACCTTGAACGCCACCCTCAGGGGAAATACCACGGTTCCCAGACAGGGGTGACTGATCCCTTCCCTATGAAGAAAACTTAACTGAATCCTGAAGGAGGAAACCAGGGGTGTGGCAAGATGTAAGAGTCAAGTTTGCTCTTCATGGGATGCTCAAGAGCTGCCAACTTCAAGACTGCCATTCGCCCTGCCGATCGTTAAGACGAACGTTGTGTGATGCCGCACCTAACGACGCGGACGTTCCAATGCCAGGGGTACTATGGACCCACCCTACCCTGCTGGCTTTACTGGCACTGCGATTACTCACAACACCTCTGAAACCCTATTTTGAAACGTCTTTCAAAGTTCAGGTATGTGCACAAAATAGCATGTGGAGCATAATTCTACTTATGTTAAAACTATATATGTATGCATCTGGATATATAGAACAATTCTTTCTCTGGTATGGAGGAATTTCAGATTATTTTTACTTTCTAAATTACAGTTTTATTAATGTTTCAATTGCTTACAGTGAGTACCATTTTGTCATCATTAAAAAATTAAGTTCTCTTCATTTTATTACTATTTTTTAATGTTTATTTTTGAGAGGGAGAGCGCACGCATGTGCGCATGAGCTGGGGAGGGGCAGAGAGAGAGAGAGGGAGACACAGAATCTGAAGCAGGCTCCAGGCTCTGAGTGGTCAGCACAGAGTACGACTTTGGGGCTCGAACTCATGGACCATGAGATCATGACTTGAGCTGAAGTCGGACGCTTAACCAACCGGGCCACCTAGATGCCCAAGCTATCTTCATTTTAGAGAGAAAAAGAAAAAAAAAGTTCTATAGACTCTGAAGGCAGTTCCAAATATGAATCTATCAAATACTCTTGGGAGACTATTTTGAAGAACAAAATCCCAGAAGAATGCTAAACCCATGCGATCAGAGAAAATGGCTTTCCTCGCTACCCTATCTTCAGTTAGCAAAGTACCTGCACAGGGTAGGTATTACACAGACATAGACACACACACACACATCTCACACACACACCCCGTCTGAGTGAATACACAATTTAGATGTTGAATTTCTAGACATGTGATTTTTTAAAATCATTGTTTTAGCATCTTTCCCTTAGCTAACTGAAATTATTTCCTAACGTTTTATCTAAAATCAGTGCACTTAGGAGAAAAGTTTAAAATCAGAAGTGAGTTTCCAAGTACTAACTTCTATAATACGCTTTTTTTAAAAAGGGCACTAGCAAAGAGGCAAAATGGGGGATGAAGTGAATGTAGAGGCCAAGCAGCTGACAGCAGAGGAGGGGTGAGCTGGGAAAGAGCACAGGAAGCCACCATCCTGTGTCACTCGCGGTCTCCAATGCAACTCAATTCTAACTATGAATCTCCTCTTCCCTCCCAGCACAGTGCCGGTCACCTTGACGGTGGTGGCCAAGGGACACTGGCTAACAAGAGAGTGAGAGGGAAGAAAGAAGCTAGCCTCTGCCTCCAATTCCTGAGTGCAGCGTCTGCTCTGTGACTCGCCAATCAGAGGGCAAGGAATGGGCTGCTCACCTCTTGCCCGGGAACAGGGGTCACAATATTCCTGTGCGTCATTACATGTGACGTGTGGCATGGCTAGCTATACAGGCAGATAACTACACAAGTAGTCCAGTATGAGTTAGCTTTTAGTCAGCAACCAAAGACAAGTAAGTGTCTTGAGTTCTAAGGAATGAAATATTTAGTGTCTACTGAGTTCTGATGGGTCTCAGGCCAAGGCAGGAGCACAATATTTACAAAAAAAAAAAAAAAGAAAAGAAAAAAAAAGAAAACTTCACTTCTTCTTGATTTTTTAGAAATAGAGCAAATCATATACACAACTAGGGTAGTCGTATATTTTGCTGCCCGAAGTGGGATACTTTTGAGAGCATGGTTATTGGAGAGTAACAATTGTTGTAGGAAAACAAATCCCGTCAAAACACTAGACAGAATGGGGACTGTCTGACGTCTATCTGATATTCTTTCTTCAATGTTCGTATTTTTTTTTTTGAGTTTTCTATTAACTACATACCATTCAGCAGTAACTTGATACTGAACACTGAATACAACACAGTCTCCTTCTCCTGAGAAGACGTTTTCTAAGCGAGGAGACAGACTCCCTACCCTCCCCCCACACGTAAGGTTTTGTAGCATAAACTAATGTGCTAAATGGATCTGAGAAGAGTCTGTTGTAATTTCTCCAACCAAAAAAGCACAATGGTGATTTAAATGACTTAAGATCCACGTACTCATTTTACTTTCCAAAAGAGTAACACGAGAAGTTTATACTGTATTTTGTTCATAAAACAAACTTCCAAAAGTGATAAACCCCAATTAAGAGGCTAGGTCACAACGTATTTTTAAAATCTTTATATTAACCATGAGAGTCTCACAAATACATTGCCACAAAATATTTTAGAAAAGCCATATAATCGTCAAAAAAGTTTCATCTGTGGGCAGTGCCGGCACGTCCCCGGAGGGAGGGGCACGTACCGGGGGGTGGGGGTTGAGGGACGTGTCATGGGCACAAGGCAGGTGCCCAGAGCCGGGAGGGCGGCGGTGGGGGCTCAGTTCCGGAAGAGCAGCATCCGCTCGGAGCACGGCTGCCCCACGAGCCTCGCATACTGCAGCACAGCGGCCTCCTCGCCCGGGTCTCTCTGTTGCTTCTTGTACACGCCGTAGGGCATGATGGCTTTCTTGTAGAACACCTGCAGACGGTCAGGGTCCTTACTGCGACCTTCATCCACTGCAGTAACAAAGAAAATATTCATTAAGAAAGTCACATGTCCAGCTACTTCTCATTTTCGAATTTAAAAGTATTTAATTTGTGGGGCGCCTGGGAGGTTCAGTCGGTTGGGTGTCCGACGTCCGCTCAGGTCATGATCTCATGGTTCATGGGTTCGAGCCTGGTGTCCGGCTCTGTGCTGCCAGCTCAGAGCCTGGAGCCCGCTTTAGATCCTGTCTCTCTCTCTCTCTCTCTCTCTCTCTGCTTCTCCCCCCACTCACATGCTCTCTCTTAAAATTAAATATTAAAAATAAAAATGTCTAATTTGAATAATAATTATGTGGTAAGATGTGCTCCTTGAGCCGCACGTTTAAACAAGAGTGTGTGCAGCATGAAGGCTAAGATGAACCTGAGTATGTTAAGTATGTCAGTAAATAAATGCCCTGATGAAAGGTAATAAATTCCCTTCCCTGTGAAAGCTGTAACATCAGGAAGAGAAGTGTAGGCAGTTAAACAGCCGGTCCTCAGCACATTACTTTCTCCTAGCGGGCAAGTTCACAGCTCTCTAGCATCTTTCCTGGGTCTGAACTGACTGACCTGACCTTGCCGCTCGCCCCACGCCAACGTGCTGAGGTTCTCATCCCTCCAGCGTGGCTCACTGGAGCCGAGCAGCTCAGGGCGCTGGGCACGCGGGCTCCGGGGGCCGCGGGCAGATTCAGGCTTTCGTGGAGGACGTGGCAGGGGTGGCCGCGGCCGCCGTGCTCGCGTCTCTGTTCTCACAGAAACAAGCCCCTGGTTTCTGCAGGACACACTGTCGCCTGCAGGAAAGCCTGTTTCCCAGCTCCTCGTGCAGCCGGGCACGGCCTCATGAGCAAGCTCTGGCCAACAGGATATGAGCAGGAGTGTTTTGTGGAAGTTTCTAGGAGTCTTAGCAAAGAGCAGCCGGCCTTGTGTCCTCTCCCGCTTTTATTTTTCGATGCTTCCTTCATGTTGCTGCCCACGCCATGAACGTCATGGCAGGAGCGCCAGCCTCTCTCCTTCTGAACTTGAGCGTATGAGATTTCTCTCAGGTCGACAAAGACTAAAGCAAGAAGGAACTCGGGCACCGGAGACTCCGTGGGGTAAGGGCACCAGGGCGGCCCTGGGCTGCCCATGTAAAGAACTTCATAGGGAAAAAACCTCCCTTGTTTCAGCCAATTGACTCTAGGTCTCAATTAATGGCAGCTGCTCCTAGTCCCAGCGGGACAGGGACCAGGCTGACGGTATCTACTGCAAGGTACAATGTCTTCTCTCTCGGACTCGGCCAGGCCACTTCCATGAATCATCCTACAGCTGCGGCTCTTAACTCTGAGTACATACTGGGATCATCCGAGGGACTTTAAAAATAAACCAAAGCCTGGAACCCATCCCCAGAGATCCTGATTTCGATCCGAATGAAGACTGAGTACCTGTGCATTGGTATTTTTTCTCTCTGTTTATTTGAGAGAAAGAGGACGGGGAGGGGCAGAGGGAGGGAGAGAGAGGGGGGGAGAGAGAGAGAGAGAGAGAGAGAGAGAGAGAGAGAGGTCAAGCAGGCTCCACGCTGTCAGTGCAGAGCCTGACATGGGGCTCGATCTCATGAACCATGAGATCCTGACCTGAGTTAAAATCAGGAGTCAGACGCTGAACTGACTGGGCCACCCAGGAGCCCTGATATTTTTTCAAGACTTTTAAAGTGGATTGAGCACTATTGTAGAAACACACACATGCCAGCGTTCATATATGCGCATAAGGCTGTCTACAGCAACACTCCCTGAAATACTGAAAAGCTGGAAACCCAAATGTTCATCCTTGGAAAATGGGTTAAATATGTTAAGGTATCTCCATATAATAAAATGTTACATAGCTATTAAAAGGACAAAGGAAGAGAGATTGGTAAGTGAAAGGAAAAAGGAACTACAGTGTAAACAACTGTTCTTTTTATTACAAGCCTAGTATATGCCCAGAAAAGTCTGGGCAAATACGTATCAGCCTTTGAACAGTACTTCTCTGCTCCTTCACCTGGAGCTAACCCTTCCTCCCCCCAGAAGAAATACGGCTCTCCCTCACCTCGTCAGATTACTTTAAATGTTGGTCCTTAGAGGCCCTTCTCTGACTCCGTGACACAGTGTCCCTGCTCCCCTTGAGCCCCCTTCACGGCACGGGCCACCACCTGACATAGGTACTTCTTTAGTGCCTGTTTCCTTTTCCACTGAAAGTCCTATGAGAATCCCAATCTGAGAACTGTGGCTGTGTGGCCACTAAGACTCCTCCATGTCTGGGTCAAGGCCTGACCAGAGGTGCTCTACACACACTTGTGATGGCACGAGTGAGTCTCTATGGATGCGGTGTTACAGGAGCCCTTTTCACAGTGTGAGAACCACCCCCCCCTCCACTTTTCTGGATTTCCTATAATTGGCATAAGGCTTTTATAATTTAAAAAAGTTGTTTTTAAGGTTGATGTAGGCATCTTATTTTGCTAAGTGTGGGTCTTTTGAACATGACAAATGGAAATGCTGGTTTCTGTTTCTACGAACCAAAAAGATTGTTTTAGAAGATTTCTCAGGGTCTTGCAGCCATAAACTTCTTCGGTCAAATCACAAAAGTTGAAACCGTTTTCACAACAGAGTTGTGATAATATTCGGCATTTTCTGGATGCCCACCTCACACAAGGCTCTATGTTTTTGAATGCCTGGATTCCATTGCATCCCTTTTTATTGTGTAATGGAAGCAACAATTCAATGTTTATTCTTCCTCAACTGATGCTGTTTCCTCTGCTGTGTATTCTAATCACCCAGGATCAGTGTTAGACAAGACAGAAGTAACACTACTCTTCCAATATCTAAAAGAGAAACAGATCCCATTTTACAGGCTGGCTGATCTCAATCAGCAGAAAGTGACAGAGTTAGGGCGTTCCAAAATTGCCTGCCTCCTACACCTGTTTAGAAACCGGTCCTAGGGAGACGCATGCTCATCATGCACTATTACCCTCAAAGGACTCTACTCCATCAGGGAAGGCGCTGATCCGCTGGGAACCCAGCTTGGGAAGGCGCACTGGCACACAGAGAAAGGGAGCCCTCACATCCGCAGGACCGAGTGCTCGTGTGGTTTTAGATTTTTGCTTTAGTTGGGACACATTCCGAGATTGAGGTGGAGGAAGATAGAAGCTGGCAGAAGGGCTCCGCCCCCTCACCACCGCACCCGGCCTGCGCCCCCTCACCACCGCACCCTCCCCGCTTCTCCTGGTGGCTCCATGCTGCAGGAGGCTGGGCAGGAGGGGATGCAGCCAGGGGCTCTCCCTAAAACCTCTCTTCTTCCTTCATTGGCTCTATTTTGGCCGCAGCCACAGTGGCTCTTAAAGTTGCCAAGGTTCCAGCTTACTGGTAGCCTTGGTGTGGCCCAGGGGCGGCGGGGGCTCCCAGCCGTTGCTCATTTCGGAGTCACTCTGAGCCTTGCCTGGCTCTGAGGAACGGCCCTGTTAGCACCACGCCCCTGCCTTCAGTGTTCTCGGCTGTAAGTACCTGCAAGGGCTCTGCTGCTCCTGGCTGAACACGCCAGCTTCCAAGTATGTGTTCTTAACAAACTGCCTTGTCCAGCTGAGGCAGAAAATCCACATACTCTAACACAATGAGATATTTAACATCTACTAGGTTACCACACCCCTTCGCAGGCTGAGTGACAAGCAAAGGAAAAGGCAGCAACCTGAATCCCTGATGTCAATTTCAGGCATTTTATTTATTTGCTGTTTTGTTTATTTATTTATTTATTTATTTTTAGAGAGCACAAGCAGGGCAGGGGCAGAGAGAAGATGAGGCAGAAACTCAAGCAGGCTTTACGCCATCAGTGCAGAGCCCAATGCACGGCTTGAACTCACAAACTATGGGATCATGACCTGAGTGGGGATCAAGCGTTGGGACACTTAACCAATGGAGCCACCCAGGAGTACCAATTTCAGGCATTTTAATGTTTACATACTGCAACACAGACAACTAACTCCATTACTTGGCTAGAAATATAGCAGGAAGAAGGTAGATTCAAGTATGTGCAGAGTCTAATACAAATAGAAAACTCATAAAGATCACTGAGAACAGCAAAGGAGAGAGCAAGAACATTTGCAAAACTGTACAAACTCTTCTCAATCTAAAACCTTGAATTTTTTAAATTGGAATTTTAAATCCCGTCTGATGAGGGACAGCAGCAGACAAATGTTCACCTTTAGCCCAGAAGGCTGACCTATGGCCTGCATAGTTCCGATAAGCACCAAGTGCATGCGGGTGGCTGCATTCTTAAAGGGTCTCCTGACTGCCCAGACGTCTCACCGAGAGTTAATATTGAGCTGAATGATAAAGCACCAGAGAAATCTTTTGAAAGTGGTTTTATGAGCAGAAAACTGCAGAAGACATTTATGATCTCCTACTTGCTGCATACCTCCTCTCCCTTGGCAACTGAGCATACAGCCACCAGCTCTTCTTGCCCACCAGTCCTGTCCCCATAAAACAAACTTTTTGCACTGAAAACATCTCAAGAATTCTTTGACCATTCACTCGTGGCCCCACATGTCTATATTTATAAAACGATGTGTAACCATTTAAACATTTACCCTAAAATATTTTAGGGAAAACACACTTTAAGGTCCAAACTCTAATGGAACATTCTAGCAAATAAAAATATAAGATCTGATATGCCATCATCTTATTTTATCTAGAACGAATGTCACTCTAATTTTATCCTTTGCTAATATGACACATAAAAATAAAAGTAGAAGATTAGGAAAAACCCCACCATCATGTTGAATTTATATCAACTTTTTTTTTTATGTGTATTTATTTTTGAGAGAGACAGAGCACTAGTGAGGGGAGGGGCAGAGAGAGAGGGAGACACAGAATCCGAGGTAGGCTCCAGGGTCTGAGCTGTCAGCACAGAGCTCGACGTGGGGCTCTAACCCACAAATCGTGAGATCATGACCTGAGCCGACGTGGGACACACCCAACAGAGCCACAAGG